ATATATTACTGATTATTATTTGTTTATTGTTGTTTTAGACCACACCTAAATGATAAACATAATCTGATAATGCATCTGTAACTCACAACTGGATGGCTCATATCTGCTATAATAACTACGGCTCAATTAAACCATTTAATCTGGAATCTGCATCCGCTGTTCTTTGGCTTGAACACACCTCCCATATCTTACCGCTCTAAACCAGAAATTTTGGAGACAAATAAAGAAATTAAAGAAGTTCATTGCTCAGGGAAACATGTTTTTATCTGTGTATATGACAATAAACACTTTAAATCTTGAATCATGAATCATTGAGAATTGGTCAATTTTCCTTTTTCAGCTTGTGTTGAAAGAAACTTTTGATAAGACTGTGAGACCGAAGAGCTTCCCAAACAGTGCTTGCATTTTCAGTGTCATGCATGGCCAWATCTTTTGCCACTAACAATGTCACTGATTGACAATACATACATCCAGAAGTTGTCAAAGTACACATATTAGTAGCTGACTGCTTCCAAAAATTGCCTGTGTTGACCAACAGTACAGAAATAAGTTGCCAGATGGATTGGTCAATCAATGATTAAGAAACAACTGCCTAATTCCTGAAACCAGGGCTTGAACCAGGGACCTACATGCTCCCAGCTGAACTATTTCAGCCCACACAGACAATTGGAAGCCGATGAAGGCAGTTTGGTCAACTCAGACTGGTGCATGAGATGGTCTATTATCTTACYACACCACCTGCTATACTTTCTGTAGTCCCATTAACATGATCTAATCACTCTAATAAAGAGTATTTAGATGGCAACAAATGCAGCAATGCAAAAAACGTTCTCCACTGAAACTGTAACACTACCTGGCTTATACAGTATATAACCATTACTTAATTGACTCATCTCTGTGGACTTTTCACCTATTACTAAAAACTTGTAGTACATAAACCATAGGTATTAGTCAAAGTTTAAGAAAATGGTGAACATCAATTTTCTTCATTCTCTCCAGTGAGGGTTAGAGCAGTGTTTCCCAAAGTTGGGGTTGGGACCCAAAGTGGGGTCCCGAAACATCAAGGTGGGGCCCTGAAAATATTTTTTGAATTAATTACATTTTTGCCTTAGTTGTTACAAAGGAGTGAGG